ACCGCGCCGCCGTGCCGCCGCGCCGCCGCGCCGCCGTCCAAGTCCAAATAGTACCTCCCCTGCCACGGCCGCCACGGCGCCGCCCTCCGAGTGTGCGCAAACACTGCCCCGCCTAATACAAACGATTTGCCGATCGGGACACACCACCCTGAGCAGCATGACGGAAGGCGGAGGGGGAAGGGTCCAAATCGGGGCGTGCCCCCGCCCATAGGCTGGTTCCGAACAGTGATTCGTCTCTCTGTCTCTCTCTTTCTCTCGCACTCCAAGCAGCCCGTTGGTCGTGCTCCCGTTCGCCTCCATGGGATTTCAGCACCCCACCCCGCCCCGCCTGCGGTGACGCCCGGTGACGCCACACCACTGTTTTAAAAAATGTACTTGTTGGAGGGCGAAAATGCCTCCGATCTTTCGAAAAAAACTCGCATACCTTCAACGATTCTATTTTTGATGAGTTTTCAGTGAGTACCGTACAAAAAAACTCTCAAATTCTAAAACAATAATCTTTGAAATTTTTTAATAGAGCTGCACCACGAACTTTAGGGGATTTCCCAGTCCGCTTCCAACAGTGCCGCGACGCCCCGAACAAAAGCCCTGCGACAGTGTAGGCGATGGCTCGCTGCTGGAGCAGACTGTACCGTCCTCGGCCTGGCCTTGCCTCGGAGCTTGCCTCCCTGACGGCGACTCGATGGCGATAAACACGTAAACTTTTGAATGAGATTACCCATTTAGATTAACGCGCGTCGTCGCGGCGCGGTTTCCCCGAGTCGAGCCGAGCCCTTCGCTCTCCAAAGGTAAAAGGTCAATAATTCACGGCTTCAATCTATAATTTCATTCCCGCCAATAAATCTCAGACTTATCTGTGAGAAAGCCGCGCTAGCCTCCTCCGCCGATTCTGCAGCCCGAGGAGGATTGGGGGGGGGGGTGATAAGTGAAAAATATATAGAGCGTCCCCTCCTCGCGGCGGCTATCGCTGCGAGCAGTCAGAGCGCCTGGAGGAACTGACCCGCATCCCGCCGCCCCCTCGGAGGCTGTGTCCGTCTCCCTCGCACTCGCGGGGCGTCCCCGGGCCGCCTGGCCACCAGGCCTAGCCACCAGGCCTGCCCGCAGCACCGCCAGGCGGACTAACTTGAAATTTGGACAGACGGGCAAGACGCAGACGGGCGACAGCGCCAGTCGCTGGTCCACTGTGGGGCCCCAGCCCCCCGCCTCCGAAATCCCATTTCCGACCGTTCCCGCCCCGTCCCGCTGCACAACGGGCGCTCCAAATGAGGTTCAAACAACGGCCGTTTTGACTTGAAAATGCAACCCATTTCGACGCGGCGGCCATTTTGCGGTGCAAATTGGCGTCATTTGGACAACCCTTCCGAAACTGGGCCGCCGTATTCCGAACCCTCTGACCCGCACACTGTAGCGCGACTCCCAGTGGCGTGACGAGACGACACAAACGCGACTGATTCTGGGAAATTCGTCGCGGGGGAGTCGGGGAGCGAGGCTAGAAATCATTAGTCAGAAGTGGGAAAGGGGGGGGGGGGAGGAGGAAATGGGAAGACAAAGGCCGGGGAGATATTACGCATGGCGGCTCGCAAGACGGATGGAGTGTCTCCGTCACACAGTGTGTCGTGTGCGCGTGCGGGGGAGAGAGGGGGGCGGGCGTGAGGGGCTACCTGCGCTGCGAAACCATATCGCACGTCAGTTTCGGAAACAACGCCTTTTGTCTTTTTCGGACGACTTTTCAAGCGGGAAAAAATATTTACTGCAATTTCGGAACCACCTGACTACCCCTTTTTTTTCCCAACGCGTGAACTAAGTCCCCTCCAGCGTGCCAGTCAGTCGGCGAACCTAGTTCATTTTTCGTTTATTTTCTGGACGACTTGCCACTCTCTTCTTCAAACTGCAGCTTCGCTTTTTTGGCAGTGTGCCCACCGCGGGTACGTCATCCCGCCGGGCTGTGAGTCACTGACACCCCGACCGACCCTCCCGAGGTCCTTGAGCGCGCAGCGCAGCGCGCCCACATCAAGGCCCCCCCCCCTCCACCGCCTCTCCTCTCCGGGGACGCCGCGACAGACTCCCCCCCTCCCTCGCTCTGCACAACTGCAGTGTACTCACTCGATTTTGCCGATGAGCGCCAGAGGGCCCACCCCCTGCGTCGCTCAATCGCCGAGTGGCAGCGAGGGAGCATGTCACAGCACTACCCCCTCAAGGACCAGCCCCCCCCATTTACAATTTAAATTTATGAAAAAGGAAAAGCAACAGCTCCGCCGAATTTTGGTCAAGTGAAGAAAAAAAATAATCGGTATATGACTTTTTGTGCAGTGATTAATTATTTTTTGAAAAAGATAAAAAAAATTACAGTGTGAAGAAAACACTGCTACCATTTCCAAAAAAAATATTTAAAAAAGTTACAGTGTAAAAATACCGTTGCAATTTTTTTCAAAGCTGAATTTCTTGCACTTTTCTTTTTAATATTTTTGCTCCTCTGAGAGTGAAATGGTTTGCGACTCACCTTTTTGAGGCGGCCGGTGGCGGTGCCCAGGAAGACGACGGTGTAGTCCCCGGTGGAGGTGGCGGACACGGCGGTGAGGTGCGTGCCGAAGGTGAGGACGGGCTGCGCGTTGACGGGGAACTCCCCGCCCAGCGGCGTGTTCACGTCCAGACCGCAGAAGTCCTCGCCGATCGTTTGCAGTTTCTGGAACAAAACACAGAACCCGTCAGCCCGTCAGTCCACGGGAACAGTGGACCAGAAGACCGCTGGAGGCGGCCAAAATCCCGGACGCGTTTTGAGCTCCAGCGTCGTCGCTAAATGGGACTCGAATCGAACGTGTGACCCCACCAATGGATTCCTCTTCGAACGAGGAATCCCTTGGTGGGGTCACACGTTCGGTTCGAGTCCCGTGACGTCGACGTCCGAGTTGCTTGGGTTCAGACCCCGTCCGGGGGCTTGGCAGGTATGCGCCGGAAACAGTTTGCTCGCGACACTGCAGGGACACTGCAGGGACGCCTCGACTAACTTCGCCCCTGCGAGTTAGGCAAAGTCCGCCCCGCCAGTGTCGCCACCCAAAACATACAGGTCGGGGACAGAGAGAGAGAGAGAGAGAGAGAGAGGGAGAGAGAGAGAGAGAGGGAGAGAGAGGAGAGAGAGAGAGAGAGAGAGAGAGAGAGAGAGAGAGAGGTGGGGGGGAGAGAGAGAGGCACTGGATTGGCTGCGTCAATCCCTTTCTCAGCGCCTTCCAATCGCCCCGGCTTGTTTGCACTACGTTCCGGCGGGGCGTCGTCGGTTGGGGCGTACACTGCAAGGCCGGGGGGGGGGGGGGAGACACCACAGGAGTAGGTCGGCGGGTCGCTCCTCCCGTTTCTGACTGATTGGGTCCGGCGCACCGATCGTCAAACAGGAGTCTCGGGTCCTCCACATGTCGCGTTTGTTTTCTACACCACTCTCTCAAAATGTATCACAAATTTCAGAACCCGGAAACCTTACCCAGTCCTACCCTGAATTTTTTAATTTTTTTTAAAAACTCTGCAATTTCTTTTCCCTCACAGCACGGAACTATACGGCAGGAACTGCAAAGTGGTCCCTTCCACATCGATGACGCCATGCAGACGGCAAACAGCCCGACCGGTGTGCCCCGAAAAATGGAGGAGAGAGAGAGGGGGGGAAACCCCCGTCGCCCAGGTATTACAACCCTGCACCCACTTACCCCCTCTCCAATGACGTGCTCGGAGGGGCACAAAATGACAAAGAAAAGGCAACCGATTCGACGGCGAGGTGAAGGGAAAGGGGGGGGGGGGGGCGAGGGGCGACTCGGGATTTTCCGGTGTGGGGAAACTCCTTGCTCTTCTTTTCAAAGACTTAGCAGTGGCGCCCCACGATAAAGGCGCACACCCCAACTTTCCTGCCCTCTCTCTCTCTCTCTCTCTCTCTCTCTCTCTCTCTCTCTCTCTCTCTGCCCCCTTTCCCCTACGTCGAGAATCACCTCGTCCAGGTGCTGCGAAACAATGGGGTTCAGCGCGAGTTAAGGTTTACCTGGCACGTCACACACACACACACACACACACACACTCACACACAGACGCCTTCCGGACGATTAAGTACAGTGCAGCGCGCAGACGGTTCAAGCCAAGTACCAATAACAACAACAAGTAACAGCCAGCCGGCAGGCCGGCAGGGCGCGGGGCGAAATAGTACGCGCCCCCCGAGGGGCCCTGCGGCCCGTGGGGCCCGTGGGGCACGGCATAGGGTGAACGGCCTGGCGGAGAGAACGTCTTGAAGAGAAACAAACAAATAAAAATAATGCCCCAACGCGCCCTGCTCAACGTTCGTCGGCCAAAGCGGGCAGAGGGCGGAAAGGGGGGGGGGGTGGAGAGAGTCAGAGAGAGACAGAGAGAGACTTTGGATTCTGATTAAAGGGGTGATTTGACAAAATCTGCATTGAAAGAATTTGAGAAAATTCCATAAGTTTACGCATGTTTTAAAATGTCCAGCATCTGCTGCATCATTCTGAGAAAAGATGAAGTCAACGGGTTCGGCAAAAATGTGGCAGTTTTGCGGTGTAGCGGGAGAGGCCACGGTCTTTGGAGCCAGGTGAGTGTTCCCGAGGGTATTACCGAACCGAACGCCGCGCGTGCATCGGGGAGGGACGGCCGGGGGCGGCCGGGGGGCGGCGGGCCGTACCCTCCACCCCTCCGGCCGCCACTCCACTGTACGTGCGAGTCTCGGGTAGCGGGCGGCCGAGCGCCTGCCACGTAGGCAACCCTCGGGCCCGGGCGCATGGCTGCGCACCGGGGCAGTCCACCCTGCCGGGCGCCCTCCGCTCCTACACTGCCTCCGCTCCCGCGTGGAGCGTTTTGAGCTCCAGAGTCGCCAAACGGGACGCGAACCGAACGTGTAACCCCACCAATGGATTGCTCTCCGAACGAGGAATCCATTCGTGGGGTCACACGTTCGGTTCGAGTCCCATTTAGCGACTCTGGAGCTAAAAACGCGTCCGGGGTTTTGACCGCCTCCCAGTACGTGCGGTGCGCGCGTTTCTCAATTTCTTCCTCGCACGGAGTTTCGCAGCGCTCCGCTCGGGCCGTGCGTGTGCGTGGCCGAGGCCGTGGTCCTTGCACCGGCCGAGGCAGGCCGAGGGCACAGTTCCAGATGAAATACTGCCTCCCCCGGCTCGGCCCGCCACGCCACGCCACGCCACGCCACGGGGCAGAGGCCCTGCCGGGCTGCCGGGCCGCCGCACGCTCCGATAAACTGTTTGCCTCGGCCTCCTTTGAGAAAGGGATTGTGGAAAGGTGCGCGCAGAGTCAAGCCGAGGCACTGCTGGGGCACTGCTAGGGCACTGCTAGGGCACTGCCAAGTCCGAGCCCACACCGCCGGGGCACCGCTACGCTCGGCTACGCTCCCCGTGACCGCCCTCTCAGGAACGGACCGCAAAAAATTCCTCTCCCGGAAGGAATGCCAGAAATGCGTACTCAAAATCGTGGACACCCAAGCAGACGACTGCCAAGCTTCGGGCTGAACGCCACACTGTAAACAACGCAGCTCACTCCAGGGCCAAAATCATTCCAAAGTCATCACAAATTCAAGACTTTGTCATTCAAAGCTCCTGCAGTGATGCATAGGTGCATGCAACATCACCATCCACTTCGTCTGCTCAAAATTTTCTGAAGGAAACGAACTCTGACAAGTGGCAACCCAAATTTTTCCAGTGCAGTTGCAGGGATTTCTTTGCCGGTGATATTTTTCAGTGGCGCGGCGGCGCGGCCTAGGCGGGATCAAGGCAGGACAGCCGGGCGCGGCCGGGCGCTACAGTGTGTTGCTTTCCGACCCGGCCTCGCCGTGTTTCGCCCTGATAATTGCCCGGGTCCGGGGTTCAAGCACTGGCAGTGCTGCCTTTTCCCGCAGCCAGCCAGCGGCCCGGCCGGCCGCCCCCGGACTTCCCTCTCCGTCCCTCTCGCACCCACGGGGCGGCCTGGAGAGAGGCAGCGCTGTTCGGAGCCAGCCTGCAGCCCCCTAGAGGTCCCCGGCTAAGCCGGTACCGCCAGAGCGCCGCAGCGACGCGTACGAGCCACAGTGGGCCAAAGCTCCAGACGCGTTTTGAGCTCCAGAGTCGCTAAATGGGACTCGAACCGAACGTGTGACCCCACCAATGGATTCCTCGTTCGGAGAGCAATCCATTGGTGGGGTCACACGTTCGGTTCCGGTCCCATTTAGCGACTCTGGAGCTCGAGACGCGCCTAGAGTTGCGACCGCCTCAACCGGTCTTCTGGCCCACTGTGCGCCGCTCGCTCGCCGTCGTCCGGGCAGGAAGAAAGAAATTCGCAGAATTTGAGCCCCCCGCCCCGAGGCGAGCTCCCCACAGTGTGGCGGTGGAGGCGCCCTACTGTCTTCCGGTGTGGCGGCGACCCGGACGCAGCCGAGGTCGACGTCGGCCCGCATCATTAAGGTGCACCAAGAGATGAAACAAACCCTCTTACTCTTTCCTCCCCCACCCCCCGCGGGGAGGTTTCTTTGGCAGTGGCGTGGACTATCAGCCCGGCCCAGGCTGAGGCTGCCATGCTTTTCTTCTGGTTGACTTCCCGCCGCTGGCTGCGGAGACTTTTCGCTACACTTTCAAATCAGAACCTGACTATATTTTGGGGGATTTTCGGATTAAAATCTGACTTCTCGTGACGCCGCGCGAATTTCAAATCCGAATCTGAATCCGAAGGTTCGACTCGCGTGCCGCGGCACCATGCTGTGCACACCCCACGCTGGCGTGCATTGCGCCGCCCTTTCAAATCCGAATCCGAATCTTGACCTGCGTGTCCCCACCCGTTCGCGTGCATTTGGCCGCCTTTCCGAACCCCAATCTGAATCTTGACGTGCGTGGCGCGACGCCCTTTCGAATCCGAATCCGAATCTTGACCTGCGTGTCCCCACCCGTTCGCGTGCATTTGGCCGCCTTTCCGAACCCCAATCTGAATCTTGACGTGCGTGACGCGCCGCCAGGTGCGCAGCTTGCGCGGCTCGGCGACGTACACAGTGTGGTGGGAGTATGGGATCGGAATACATTACCATGCTAATCCGGCCGGGCCGGGCGGGGCCGGGTCCGGCGGGGCTACACTAGAAAGCTCTCTGCCTCCTAAAAGAGGAGAGGGCCCGTATAATTTTAACGGGCCCTCCACCGTAGAAAAGGCAAAAGCCGCGACCGCCGGCCCACAGTGGGCTAGAAGACCGGTGGGGGCGGCCGAAACTCAAGACGCGTTTTGAGCTCCAGAGTCGCTAAACAGGCCTCGAACCGAACGTGTGACCCCACTAATGGATTGCTCTCCGAACGAGGAGTCCATTGGTGGGGTCACACGTTCGGTTCGAGTCCCATTTAGCGACTCTGGAGCTCAAAACGCGTCTAGAGTTTTGGCCGTCTCCACCGGTCTTCTAGCCCACTGTGGGCTGGCTCCGCGCGCCCCGCGCCCCGCGAGTGCGAGAGAGACAGGACGCTTTCGCGGTGTGCCCGCAGCCACCGCAAGATGGCACTGGCCGCCGGACGTCCGTCGGCGTCGGCATCGTAGTATCGATTCCCAGTCGCGGCCATAAAGACCGCCATCTCGATGCACTACTGCCGTACTGTACCGTTTCCGAGACAATTAAAGTCACAAAAAATATCAATATTTCTTTTTTCTTTTTTTTTTGATTATTTTTTTTTGCTTCCTGTTTGG